ACTGACCATCTGGAGCAGTTGAGACTCCTGTGATGGGTAGAAAGGGCAGTGTGGAGATGGGGGAAAAGGAGAAAGACGGCAGAGCTCACGGTCCAGGCTCTGGACTGTGCAGTCCAAGTCTGATGAATGAACGCTGCAATCTTAGCAAGTGTTGTAAATTAAAATATAAATACAAAAAAGATGCAGCATGAAGGATAGGGCAGGTTAATTCTGGGAGATGTATGGAGCGTTTGAAGGGCAAACATTTATAGAAAAAAGCAGGTAAGGATTATCAGAGGAAGTAAGAAGCGAAGCTCTCCAGCACAGAACTGTGTGGTATTGCCAGGATCACGGGTACCATCCTAAGGCTCACCAGGACTAAAAGATGACCAAGGGACGTCTTTGCTGAAGAGCTGCCTCCAACAGGAGTAGTGAGACCCTCTGTTTGTAATGGTGATGCCAGTCTCACCATTAAAAATGCCATAACATAGAAACAAAGTTGGGAAATGATTCGGGGAATGAAGTGGCTCTGTCTAGGGACATCGGGAAGGCTCCATGCAAACTCAGTATTGGAGGTGGACTATATGGATAGATGATAGCAGATGGGAAACAGCAGAGGGCAGGGAAAGGTATTTGCGGGCAAAAGCAAAAAAATGGTGTTTTAGGGAACAATGAGTAGCTCCTTTTGCCCAGGGCAGTGGGATTCAGGTCTGTAAGATGAGACAAATGAGGTAGCTTGGGGTCCTGTAGACAGGAGTCCTGGGAGTTTGACACTTCTGTAGACAGTGGTGGGCAGTTGTCATGACCCCGGGAACCCAAGGGCTTAGTGGCGAGGGATTAAAGCAGGGGTGTCAAAGTCATTTTAACGGAGGGTGACATCAGCCTCACAATTGCCTTCAAAGGGCCAAATGTAATTTTAGGACTGTATAAATGTAACTACTCCTTAACAGTTAAGTGAGAGCTCGGCGCTGCTCTCAGGTGCCGGGCCGGATAAAACAAGGTGGAGGGCCGGATTTGGCCCGTGGGCCTTGCGTTTGCCACCTGTGGATTAAAGGGAGGAAAGCAGAGGTAAGAAACTCTGGCTTCAACAGAATGTCGGTTGGACGGAAGAGTAGGGCTATGAAGAAATTCAAACAGGAAGGTGAGAGAGCGAGCCCCAGGAAACTTCTTCAGAGTAGGTGATCTCTCGGAGACCTGGACAACAGGCATTGTCCTAGGAGTCCAGGCCAAGGGAATGGCTGTCACGAAGGTCCTACCTGAGGCAGGAGGGACTTGGCATGGCGTGTTCAAAGAGCACCAAAGGCACCTGACTGATTCATAAGAAAAAGGTACCCTTTTCCTCCTTTTGCTGGTGAGGAGACTAATTTCCAAGGTAACTAATTGAGATGGTTCGGGTCACCAAATAGGTCTTTGTTAAAGGTGGAGCTAGCATGTGTATGAAGATAAGCTCAGGGATGCCTTGTCCATGTTGCTTAAACTGGAACAGCTAAGCAGAGACCTGAATCAGGGGCCTGAAATGCACTGGCCTCGATATTGCTCCAGAGATGCGGACCTCCCTGATTCTGTGTTAGGCGTGTTTGCTTCTGAACCCTCTTACAGTTGGGATCATTGCTGAATTCTACTGCTGTGTTTCAGGACCCGCTTGTTTCTAAAGGCCATATTCTTCCACAAAGAGCTTGCAGGCCAGTTGTGAGCACTGAATGTGTTGCATTATGTGCTGGCTGTGGATCAGTTCAAACAGATAACAAAATAATGTCCTGGTATCTTAATGTTACTTTTTAGTATATTCATTTCTTTCACTCCTTTTCTTTTGTTTTGGAATTTGAGACTATTGTACCAAATGCCAAAAACAGTGTAGTGCTACTATTTTAAGTCTAATTTTGATAGTGTTTAATCATGTTCTGAGTACTTTTTCCTTTTTAAATAAGGGTATTTAAAAAATAAAAATAATAAAATTAAAGTCACCTGTATTGGACATAACGTACTGTTCTGGCGAGTCTTACTAATTACGTATAAATTACTGACACTTTTATTCATACTTCTTTTTAATCACATTTAACAAGTATCTTTTTCTCTTCTGTCAGAAAAAGTGTTAATGAGCCTGTCACTCAAATGCCTGGAAGAAGAACAGATAACTGGGACCGAATACAAGGGTCTGTGGGGTGACAGTCTTTGCAGAGTGTGAGCAGATGGGCACCAGGCTTCTTTCTAACATGAGAGGGGATGTGTCCCATATGAGAAAAGCACCATTGTCTTTGAGAATTATAATCTGCCTCCTGTTCTTGGCATTCGTTTAATCTCTAGTCATATCTCATTAACATTTCCTCTATGGCTTTTTGCTGTTGTTGCATTGTAGCATTTATTTTTAACAAAAGGGTCTCTGTTTGGTCGAAAGGGTCCCTGTGGCGGCAACAGGACAGGCAGGTGGGCTTCTCCAGCCAGGGCATTTGGGCAGATGCGCTTGAGGTGTGTGTAGGGAGGTGGGGGGCCACCTTCCGTGTCACCCTGGGCTGCCCTGGGGACAGGTGGCAGCGGCTCCCAGTCTGGGTAACCTTCGGGGTCCCCAGCTTCCAGCGGCTCCGGAAGAGGCTCTTCCTCAGCCATTGTGGGGGTTTCATGGTGTCGCCTGCAGTTTGGCAGTTCCTCCCCAGGAGCTCTCATTTTAATCACTTTAAATATTGAAAACACAAAACAAAATACATTTTGAACTTTTTCAACCATTAAGAATTCTAATGTTGGAAATTCTTTGGTTAGTGAAATAAATACCTTTATTGCAGAGAATTCTTCAAACTCTTGTATATCCTGCTTTTTAAAATTTACACTAGGTGATCCTTGTTTAACATTATACACTGAAGATATTCTAAGCTTAATTTCAAAGAAATGAGTAAATAACAAAGATCGGGAGATTTTTGTAAACAACTACTTCCAGCTTATCACCGTGTTTGTTGTTAGCATTGACGAATTCACAGGGATGAAGTCACCTGACTTCTTCAGATCCAGTAGTAAGTGTGACTGACTCTTCAGTGTTACTTTCCAGTTTTTTTTGTAAAAAGCTGTGTGGTTTTTATTCTTTGTCATTTTTTAATATACCTCGTTCTCCATTAATTCTAAATCCTTTCACTATTACTCATGCGATTCAAGTTTGAGATATGGACATAGTTATTGGTGTGTGTTATTTGTGTGTGTATGTATGTGTCTTTGTATATTGTGAAACAGGCAGTGTTTTTAAGATAGTATTCTTGGCCAAAATTGAGTGATAACAGTCATTTCCTTGTGTTTCTTCCTCTAAAGAGATGAATAGACCTGAACTTAGCATGTTCTGTCTGAGATGTTTCTTGTATAGTTCAAGTGAAATAGCAGGTGATTTCTGTTTGATCGTGGCTGGAGAGGACATTTTCTTTTTAAGAAAAATGACAATTACATCTTCCAATTTAAATTGTATTTCAAGTATTCTTGTTAAGACATTTATGGACTAGTCTTATTCTCTAGTATTGTCCTTCTTTATATTTAATTGTAACATGCTTTCGTCATACTTGAAATTAGAGGCACATATCTTTATAAGGCAGCTTTGTGCTGAACAAATTCTCCTCCTTGGAGGTGGAATACAGAGCTTTTCTAAAAAGAAGTAAGATGGTCTCTATGGTAAGCAGTTCTGACCTTGTTTCTGGAATGGAGAAAAAACTCCCAGACTGCACCCATACACCCTAAGTAATTGACTTACGTGAACTGTACAGTCATGAATGAAATGCTAATATAATTGCATGGGTTATTTTTAAATTTTTAATTGCACAAGTGACATATCACTTTCCTCCTCTTATTAAAACAAAAAATACAAATGATACAAATGCTCTTTGAGCTCCCACACTATGCTAGGAACATCTATCCAGCATAAAAGTAGAACTACTCTCACTACACAGTTGTAGAGTGGGATCAGATGCTTCATATCCTCAGAGGAAAGCCTGTCCACTGCTTCTAAAATGTTTGTGTATATGTAACTCAAGTCGCCCCAGGCCAAGGAAAAATTTGAACTCCCCAAGCTGAGAAGGCGGAGACCCACAGGCCTGTGATCCTGGCCTGCGGTGCTGATGCAGGGTAGACGTACCGGGGGAAGAAATGTTCTTGTTGAAGCGTACACTGAAGTTGGCAGTGTAATCAGAGTAAACCTCGGTGTGTGGAATTTGTTATTAGGAGGAGTTACCAAACTCAACATATACATGCCAAATAATTTCATTAGAACCACCAATCAGTTTGAAATGGAAAAGAACTCTATTTCTAAATCTTGCTTATTTTGTTACTCACCGCGTAAACTGTGCCTTTGATGGCTACCATTGTGTGCCATCCCGTGTACAGGATGTTATGTTGTTATAACATCCTGTGTATAACACCCTAATGTTGTTATATCCCGTGTACAGTTTAGGGAACTAAGACTCAGAGATGTCAACAGCATATCGGAAGGCCACACAGCAGACAGAGAGGGCGGTGGGGGTAGATCCTGTCATTCAGAATGCTCTTTTTTTGACATCATGCTTCCTCAGAGATCAGCTAAGAGAATCAGTGTCCAAGGCGTACAGATAAAATTGTTCAATGGCACTGGCTCATTAAATTTCAGAAAAGTTTTGAATTCTCATTTAAATGTCATTCTGATTTTGTGAATATCTCCCCTCTAATGACAGAAAAGATACTCTTTGAATATTTATCCACTAGTACCAAGTGGGCTCTGACCAGTCGGAATGGGCCCCTCTTAATACATCAGCTGAACGTCAACTCAGGTTTCAGGCCTCACGATGCCTAATGAATAGCAATGTAGAGTGTCTGGAACTCTTTTGGCAAGATAACATTCAAAAACGCCCACCACATCTTTCTCAAAATTCTCACCTTAACCTGCCATTAACTGTAGTTACTCTGATTTCAAGCTCTCAAGTAGTTTCGGGGGTTTGTTTGTTTTATTGGGTCATTGAAAACTTGAATGAACCTGCGGAATTTCGTGACTGAGTGTCTGCCCTGTTTTTCCCTTTTTCTAGGTCTATTATTAGCAGAAGATTTTTCTGCATAGTTGGCACGCTGTACCTGTATCGGTGTATTACAATGTATGTAACTACACTCCCAGTACCTGGTATGCATTTCAACTGCTCTCCGAAGGTAAACCATTCCTCACTGTGATTTCCCGTTTTGCTTGTTTCTCGTCTTGCTCAGGGGTCCTTTGACTTAGGCCAAAGATGAAAATTTCTTCAGAGTATAGTCAAGTCCCTCCACCCTCATCTGGGAACAGTACTGAGCAATATGGCTAGGCGGCCCCACCCTTCTCAGAATATCCAAACCCTGCCAGCGCTTCCCAGCTGGGGAAATATGTGGTCTGGTTAGTGCGCTGGAAGCAGTTAAGCTTTGTGTGTGGGTGTAGCTCTTTGGTTTACTGCCAAATTTTTAAAATATCATTTGTTCCCTTGACACAGATCCATAAGTTTTTAGATGGCTTTCTCTCTCTTAGATGGAACATTGGTTTGAAATGGTATTTTTTCCTTCTTTCTATTAATCCCATTGGTGGTGATCTGTAACAGCAGAGCAAGAGATACCGTTCCTGTCTCCTTGCATTTTCCACCCACACAAACATGGTCACTACTCTCTGGAGGTAGAGTTTGCAGGATGCACTGATCTTCTCTAGTAGGACAGAAGCCTTTCTTTAAAACAGACTTCAGTCCTCTCTTACAGCCTCTACCTTTCCATCAGGGTCACATAACATTCCATGCCTGTAACCTTTGCCTTGGATTAATTTTAACTTGAGATCATTGGAACTTTATGAATTAGAAGATTTGGTTTTACTAATGTTTACCTGCATTGAAGCTCTTTCATGCAGTAAGAAGTAGAAGGACTGGTTTCCTTGATTTGACTGGGAAAAAATATGGAATACTTCAGTGTGTGTGAAAGCATTTCTTTGCACTGCGCCCTTTCTGTTTCATCCCTGTGGACTTCTGTTCCTTCCAGAAAAGGTATTTTTTTTCTCTGCTAGAATCCTGGAAAAGGCCTGAAAAATTGACTTTGGATTTTTAAAATGGTGTCTTTATCATTTGAAACTTTGGATTCCTTTCAGTTCTTGGCTCACTGTGGTTCCTCTTTCTCGTACTCATGTATGTGCTCAGAGAGGTAGCAGGTTTCTTGTTTTACTCCTTCCGTCTTTCTACAAACTGTTTGCGTGACCCTGGAGAAGCCATCATAAAGAATGAGTGCTCCCCGGGTGCCGGGGTCTGTGTCAGCGGTCCTACTCCTCGTGCCTCCCATGTCGCTCTTTCCTCACCTCCCAGAGAAGCCAGCCTCACATCTTCTTCCTTCTCAATGGAATCCCTCAAGCACTTGCCTTGGAGCTCCTGGGTTACAGGAAATACCTTATCATCACTGAGGATCCAGTGATACAGACTCTTGCTGGAAGGCTAGCTTGTTAAGTAATATTTTTTTGGTAGTAGGCTGACTGCTTGGGGTATTTGTCTAAATTTAGTTCAGCTCCTTAAAAAAGCCTGTCTGTGCATGGGGAGATTGCTCCATCACTGAACACATCACACCAGTTTAGCTAGATGTGAGATCAGGCCAAGCCCACGATGAAGGTGGACCCAGCATCATGCTGGGTAGCCTTTCTCCCCGTCCAGCCTTGCTTCTTCTCGGGACCGCTGCAGCTTCACCCAGCTGCCGGCCAGCCTGGGCTCGGTTAGCGCTGGCACGGAGAGTCAGTGTGAGTCATCAGCATATCTAACCAAGATCCATGACTGAAAAATAGCTTGTGGGTTTTCTTGGTAAAGGCAGATGTAATAGCAGGAAGTGCGTGCCAAAACGAAACCCAAACATGTCATTTATTTATTGTGTTGCTAGAAATCCCGAGTAGGAACATCATTTTGTGATGGTCTTCTGGAAATTGGAAATTTTAAATAAAGTATATAGGAGAGGGTAAAATATTAGCACACCTTAGCAAACATTATCAGTTAAAACTCATTAAATCTAGTTATTTCTTTTGGAGAACAGGATTCTTGGAAGAAAGAATTCAGAAAACAGGTTTTTATTCTGAAAATTTTTGCATGAATTCCAAATAAAGAAACTAGTGTAAGATATACGGGACTTCCATATACCCAACACCCAGTTCTGCAATTACCAAGGTGTGCTACCCTGGCTTCCTCTGTTTTTTTTCTCTTGAAGTATTTATTTTTAAATCCAAGACAGTGTCACTTAATGCTACCTACTTTTGTGTACATTGAAAATTTTTGGACATTTTATTGCATAACTTTAATGCTGTTGGTACATTCAATGTGATTAACAGTAATTCTTTGGTATCACAATGACAAGTTCTTGGAGTACCTTGATTGTCTTAAATGCCTTTTTTCCAGTTGGTGTGTATAAATTATGATCCCCTTACTTTACATATAGTTGTTTCTGTCTCCTAAGTCTCTAAGTCTAGACCAGTCTTCTCTGCCTTTCTGTTTTACCCTGTCAGTAACTTGCAGAGATCAGATCATTTGTCCTGCAGAATATCCCACATTCTGGGTTTGCTTATTGTTTCTAGCGTCAATTAACTTCTTCCTCTTTCCTCCATCTTTCCTCTAAATAGGAAGTTGACTCTGGAGACTTGATTCAATTCCATTTTAACTTGTTTGGCAAGAGCACTTCACAGGTAAAGCAGACTGGTTTCTGAAGCTAGACAGAGCGTTAGAAAAGCCCTCTCAGTCTTGGCGCTGCCCCAGGGAATGGCAGATCACGCTTAAGAAATTCAGTGATCAGTCAAGGGCTAGGAGGCTCTACTGGGGAACGGTGTCAGAAGGGACATGAGGGTAGCACAGACTATCTTAGAGATCCCAGACACATGTTTTGTCTACTCGAGAGCCATACCCAGGGCTGAGTTTCAGAACTGAAAGGAACCTCACTGAAAGTCATTCTGTCCAGAGTTCTGTTTGATGTCTGTCAAATATCCTCACCACCAGATCTTGATCAGCCTCTCTCTGAATAAGTTCCCACTCTCATTGAGTAGAGTGGGAACTTACTGCCCTGCAAAAATACAAACCAACCCAGTCGTTGAAGGAACACTGAGGTCAGAGTTTGGATGATCTTGTACTATCACTGACTAGCTGTGTGGCAGCTGCATTTAACTTCTTAGTCCTTGGTTCCTTTATTGGCAAAGCAGGGATAATGACACTCCATGTGTCTGAAGCGATGTGAGGGTGAAAGAAAGCGATACATAGGGGTTCTATCAATGTAAAATGCTGTACTGGAATCAGAGAACTTGGCGCCATCATGTTGCTTCAACGCCAAGACTATCATTCGTCCAGTATTTGTATAATGCTGTAATAACAGCCTCAAGCTAAACCACGGGTCCCAGGGGCAGAAAGGAGAAGACAGATTTGAGCTATGTTTAGGTGATTGAATCAATACGATTTGGTACTAAATTTGATGTAGGTAATGAGGATAGAAAGGAAAGATATCAAAGGCGATTGGGTTTTACTACTGTGATACTTATGGGGGAAGGAGGAAGAGGGAGCCGATGACTTCAGATTGAGCACATAAGAGTTTGAGGGGCTTGTGAGATAATCTAAGTGGTGATGTCTAGGACAGTTTGCAACAGAGGTCCGGAGCTGGTGGGGGGGGATCAGAGCTGGAAATTAAATACTCTTTGTGATTCATTGTAATCTACATGGCGTTAGAGTTGTGGGTATGGATGGAAGGCTAGAGACAGGACATACTAGTACCATGTTTCTAGAATTGTGTATTATTTCTAGATTGGAGACACCACTTAAGGCCTGTCAGTTGGTGGGTTATCAGTCATCATTAAACCACAGGGGAAGAGAGTTGAGCTTTAGAATACAACTTTCTGTTTAACACAGTCATGTGAATTTAAACTTGGTTCTGCCATTATATTAAACCCCATAATTAGTATACTTAATTCTCCCCTTAATGCCAATACTCAAGATGCATGGCTTCTAAGAAAAATGTTCCAATGAGTATATAGTAGTAATTATGAAAATTGTTCCTATTGTTCATTCATTTGATGGCGGTGTACTCTTCACTTTACAAAATTTAATAGCTTGGAGAAATAATCGCTGTGTGAAATGATTACGTGAGGAAGAAAAGTGGGCCTCCCATCAAATGCCACTGCAACAAAGATAACCACTGGGAAGGAGAAGTAGGTGTGTTCAGTTCCTAGATTATGAAGTGGTGGGAAGCTCTTGTCTTCTTTCCCAGGGTGGGGGAGTGCCCGGCTGACCCAGGATGCTGCCTTCCTTTTGTACCTCCATGAGCCATCGCAGCTTTTCTCCCAGGGTCATGTGCGCAAACTCGAAAACAGCCTCTTGTCATCTTGTTCGGACTGTTTAGAATTCCATTAAGAAACAACAAAAGAAAACAAGGCAGAAACCTTTGAGAATTCTTTGGTGTTTAAGTTTTCTGTACGAAGTGTTTTTTTGTTTTAGCAAACTCCAGAAGAGGCAGGGGGGGGCGGGAAACCTAGGCACCAGATACACTGACAGCCATTAGGCTAATGGAAGAAAAGAAATAACGTTTACTTTTTCAACTGCCATTATAATATGTAATCATATGAATTAATCTAGTGACTAAGCATTAAAGTGAGGTGCATGTTGGGTTCTGTTTTATGGTCTCCATGGTGAGCTTTAGATTTGAAAACCTTCAAAAAGAGTTATGTTACAGCCAGGGTACTTAGCTGGCTAATGCATTAATCCAATATGGTATTTTTAGTGAAATGATTCTCTTGAACTTGAAAAAGACTTTGTTTGTTTATTTGTTTGTTTGTTTATTTGTTTTTAATTTCCCCAAACACACTTGAACATATCCCACTGTTGGACAGGGTTTATGTTTGGGTGGCATCTGAGGTTAACTAGGTTGTTCAGTGGAAAATAAAATACAAACATAGTAACAGAAAGGCCTTCGATTTCTCTTCTGTCACTGTCAGTTTCCCTGCATTGCACAAAATAGATCAAGAAGGCACCTCCTTTAATCCACTGCTCAGCGTCAATGCGGCAGTCATCAGCCCGAAGGGTCTCTTTCTGGCTGAGTTCAGTCTCACAAGGCTAAAGACTCATTGCTCTTTAGGATTTTGTGACCTTTTTTAGTTCTTTCTTACATTCTCAGGTAGCAGCTTGACTGTTCAAGTTGCC